GCAGCGGCGGTGGTGGGGGATTCAGGAATACTTCCGTGTGTGCTTTGCCGCTATGCTTTCCTCCAGCGGCTGCTGTTGTGGTCGTCGGTGGTGCCAGGGTAACGTTATGATGAACGGTCACATGTTGCTGTTGCTGCTGCTGCTGTTGCTGGTGTTGCTGGTGCTGCTGCTTGTTTTGGTTGTGCTGAGATCGTATTTGACTGATGGCGGCTCCATAGGCGGGAGGAGGTTTCTGGTGCGGTTGTGCTCCTGTCTGCTGCTGTTGCTGCTGCTGCTGCGTGAAGAGCTGCAATAAAAGAGGAAACTTTGTGAGCGAAATCCAGGATTTGGTTTGCCAAATGCAAACCCTTTGCATCTGATGAAATGAATTTCAGGGGCAACAGTTTATGGCCTTGGCACTCACCTGCAGCGGCGGAGGGGGCGGCAGCGTGGTGGCGTAGGTAAACTTCAGGCCAGGATGCTGTTGCTGCTGATGGGCAAAGTGGGTCTGCTGCTGCTGCTGCTGATGGCTGCTGGCGAGGAAGTGCTGCTGTGGCACCTGCGGTATCACCAAAGTGGCGGTGGCGGTGGCTGTGGCGGTGGTGGCACCACGCCCAAAGCTCGTCTGCTGTTGTGGTTGTTGCTGCTGCTGCTGCTGTTGATTAGTGTAGCGATAGTCCGTGGTGACCAGCGGTGGCTGGTACAGTGCGGCCATTGCGCTGTTTGTGGTGGGTGCGGATGTGTTGTTGGCTCGCGCCTCAGTCGTGGGCGGTGCGCATTTCAGTGCTTTCATCGGTGGATTGCTCAATTTGCTGCTGCTGCTGCTGTTCGCTGTGGCAGCAACAACGGAGGAGGAGGAGGAGGAGTGGGAGGGGGAAGTTAGTGAGGAGGAGAGGGGCGGCGGCGCATTAGAGGCTATCGATGAGCTGGCGGACACAACAACTGGCTTAACATCAGCCACAGTTGGAGACGACGTCGAGGCGGTGGCGGCGGTGTCGTCGGAGCCACCGGCAGCATCTGCACCACCTCCCGCTGCTGCTGATGAGCCATCGCCCAGCATGGCCGCCGCCAGGGCATTGCCCATGCCAGTGTTGCCCACAATTGTCATCTGCACCAGCGCCTTGATGACCTGCTCCTTCGGATGCGTCTCCAGATGGTCGGAGAGATTCATACCCGCGTGCAGGTACAAAGTGCACACGGGGCACTGCACGCTGTCGACCATGATGGCGGCCTTGGTTGCTTCCTTCTCTCTGGCTGCTAATTCACTCTTGGACTCTCTCTTCGCGCTCTCTCGCACGTTTGATCGCTCTCTGGGATCCCCCTCAGAGTCATAAAACAGTGTGTCCTGCTTGCGTGTTAGCCATCTTGCTCAATCTTTAGGGTCCGTCCGCGGGCGAGTCGGTCGAGCTGTGAAAAGAAATTGAAATGTGAGTGCCAATCCATACAGTGATCCCAGCCCAAGCCCCAGCCCCAGCCCCAGCACCAGCACCAGCTGTTGTCGGATATCTGGGGCCTCCGGTAAGCTGATACCCGAAGAATGCAAAGCTGCCGCCCGGGGAATGCGAGAAGCGTAATCTGCGTGCGCGTGATTAAGCGTAAGCCACCGAATGTTGATCTCAGGCTGGCTGCGGAGATGATTCCCACGCCACAGGAGCTATGCCGAGCTTGCAGAAATCACAAGAAATAGAGATCTCAGATAATGCCGAATCTAGGAATATCCTATAAGCCGACGCTCTGCCATGTGTCAATCCGTTTCCATGGAACCCAATCAGTCTGCTGCCCAGAGCCCACCCTTCTATCGCATATATATTACACATTCTGTCGAGTGGAGAGAAGGGTCTGTGGGGCCACACAAATTCTTTATAAATAAATGAGTGTTCGATGGCGAATCTATGCTTTAGAAAATAATAATACAATTTCCCGAATATCGCTTGAATTAGTTGGAAGGTCGGTGAGTCCAGCTATAAAGACCTCTTGCCGAAAAGCAGGCAGTGTGAGCGAGACGAATATATATGCACGCCCTCGTTTGGAGAGCACTCCAATTGGTTGCCACCAGACCAGCTCTCTCGCTCTCTCTGCATGCCGTTTCTGCTATGTTTTTTGACAAAATCGAATGTCATACGGCCATAACTACTCGTAAGTGTCCATTAGGGGTATCTTTGAAGGAGTACCTCCTGTCAATTATCCTTTTAATCACTTGTGAATGCAGGCAGGCACCAGCATAAGTTTTAATGGTTTTTTTTTTTTCATTTTACAAGAAACACATTTTATTTTTGCCCAAGTCTTTAACAGCTGTTTCAACAGGCTTTTGAACTGAACAGCTGTTCGAAAACTAATCAGAACGAAATCTGTGTCGTTGTAGCCGTTTAAAAAGCTTTCAGCTTCATTATTAGTGGGTGTTACTAATACATTTTAGGCAGATTCTTTTGGGGTGACAGTCAGCCAAGAAAACAAATCCCGGAATCAGAAAATTACAGAAAATACTATAAAATGGAAATCTCTCCAAGCAGGACAACGCATCAGTGATCAGGTATCAGGTTTTTGCATACATTCCCTACTATCGCGTTGACGTAAAATTATGTTCCGATTTCCCTGAGGAAATGGAGAGATAATCCTCAGAAATCATGGGAAATATTTACATATACGTAAATCGAATGCAAGAGTTTTGGAGTTTGAAATTTTTGAGTATTCGTTCGCCACTCCATTCCGAGGATATGAGACACCAGGTCGCATTCGATGAGAGGAGCAGAGAGGAGGTGCAAGGGCTGCCATGCGCAAGCTGGACGCGAGGCACAAATGGTCGACTGGAATGCCAACCAGAGATGTGGCCGACAACTTATGGAACAGCTTTTTGCTCAATGAACGGCGGCAGCGATGAGCAGAGGCAGAGGCAGCAGCAACAACAACAACAGCGACGACATCGACCCTGCCTGACGGTGACGATTTTTTACGGACCCCGTATGGCTGTCGTTCTTGCTGCACAAGAGCTGGGAACTTTTCCTTTTATTTATAATATTTGTTCGTTTTCCTGTGCATTGTTTTTTGAGAACTGGGTTTTGGACTGGATTCTGGTTCTGGTTCTGCAAGGGTTGCTGTTGCTGGCCACGGCTAATGCTGGGAGGAGGAAGGAGCACCAGAGGACGCCAAGGGCTGCACACATACCCGCATAGACAGCGGCAAATAAATGTCTACGTCTGTTGCTATTGATTTTTCCTTCGCAAAGGTTACACACACTTTAAAAAACAAAACGGCAGCAAAAAGTGCGTAAGAGTATCCCCAGCCTGGACTCCGGAACAGGCTACCGGGGGCACTTAATTAATGATGAATGCACACTTGAAACGAATTCAACAAAGAGAGCCGAGCCGAGACAAGCAGAGCAGTGCAGAGGCGTCTGCTGCTGCCTGGGGTTTGTCGACGAACCTTTTTCCGCTGGGTGCAGTTGCTGTTGTATGTGTGTGTGTTCTCTGGTGTGTGTGTGTGTTTGTATGTGTCTGTCTGTGATCTTGCCAGTGGCTTAATGTCTTTTTTTTTGCTTTGCTTTAATTTTCCACACGCGCAGAACGCGTTTCACTGCGTTTTTTTTTTTATTATGATTGCACACACACACTCGTAGGCACGCACCAAATGTAGACACAATTTGGAAAATACATATTTCCGCTTTATTCCACGATGTCTGTTCACTTTTCGTTGCATTGATTTTGTCGAGCTAATGGTATGGGAATTGGACGGTCTGTTATGTACCCAGGAACTACTCAAGAGGAAAAAAACTACTACGAAAACGAGAACTAATTGCTGCTATATCGATCGTAACACAGAGAGAGAGAGAGAGAGTGTGTGGAGAGAAGAGCAAGTTTTTCTCAGAGAGAAAGAGAGAGAGCTGGGTATCCTTGAAAAGTTATGCACCTGCAGCTGCTCCTAGGGGAGGAGGAGTTTATTCCTTGTTCTGCCTGCCTGGTCGTCGCCGTCGCCTCGTTCAATGACACAGAAATCTTTCTTCTCGTCTTCTGCTTTGTGCGCTCCTTCTCCAATATACAACAGAGCTTTTATATATGCTTCGAATGCGAGTGCGAGGCCATCGCTGCGTTTATCTCCATATTTGTGTGTGTGTGTGTGTGTGTGCGTGCGTGTGTGTGGGGGTTTGTGTGTGCGTATGGGCCTCGGCTACACACAAAGTAAAATTTTCAGGCCCGTTTTCTACTCAGTTCTGTTTAGATTCTCAACGAGCCTTTATGGAATACCGATAAACGGCTCAATCAGCTACGTTTAGGTGTTCGATACAAGCATATTTGTTCACTTTTCACTATTAAATAGTCGTCCAATTCGTTTTCACCTTGCGACAAGAAAAATTACAACACCAGCGTTGGATATCGATGTATCGATATCATATATCGGGTCTAAATGCATAAATATACTAAGATAAAACATCGATAAGACTAACAACTTTTTTCTTAATAAAAAGGTTTTCATTTAATAATTATTCGAATTAGTTTATAATTTGTTCTATAAAAACTTTGATTTGACAACTTTGACGTTTGAAAACATCGATATAACTAGTATTTGTTTATTAAAGCCGTATGCCTCTTCGACTTTAAATTCAATCATGGGTTCGAATAATACACCAACATTATTTCGTATTTTTGTTCAAAAAAGCCGCCATGCAGCTTAATTTTGAACTATTTTTTACGATGTTGAACTTTAAGCTTTAATTTGAATAAATAAGTTTTCATTTTAGTTTGAATAAATCATACTTCCGGGATAATAAAATCTTTTCTGGGAAATATTCATTCAAAAAGTTTTTAATTTTCAAAGTTAACTTGTATCAAATAAATTATTATTATTGTCTATCTGATTTATCCACTAATTTTAATAATTAATAAATAAAAAAAACTGTTCTGTTACGTTTTTCTTAAGAAAAATTGTTTTTGTATAGAAATTTATGGTATTTCGGTATATTTCTGAGAGCTGAGAATATACTGCATCGCGAAAGAAAAGAAGAAGAAATTAGCTGCAAAGGGGGAAATTTTTTTTTAATTCAACGATTTGTTAATTTAATTCTTGTGTGAGGCGTAAATCATCCAACGAAACCATGGCGGACAAACTGCAGGAACAGAGCATAATGGACAAGTCCATGCGCTCAGTATTCGTGGGGAACATCCCATACGAGGCCACGGAAGAGAAGCTCAAGGAAATTTTCAGCGAAGTCGGCCCGGTTTTGTCACTCAAGTAAGCCGCGAATCCATATAATGTGCGTCTTCATATATAGTATTAATGCCCTGCCATTACAGACTCGTGTTTGATCGGGAGAGCGGAAAGCCCAAGGGGTTCGGCTTTTGCGAGTACAAGGATCAGGAGACCGCCCTAAGCGCCATGCGCAACCTCAATGGCTACGAGATCGGGGGACGGACGTTGCGTGTGGACAACGCCTGTACGGAAAAGTCGCGAATGGAGATGCAGCAGCTGCTGCAAGGGCCCCAAGTGGAGAATCCGTACGGGGAGCCCTGCGAGCCCGAGGACGCACCAGAGCTGATTACGAAGACGGTTGCTTCGTTGCCGCCAGAGCAGATGTACGAGCTAATGAAGCAGATGAAGCTCTGCATTGTCAGCAATCCATCCGAGGCTCGCCAAATGCTTATGCTGAACCCCCAACTGGCGTACGCCCTGCTCCAGGCAATGGTGGTGATGCGTATCGTGGACCCGCAGCAGGCGCTGGGCATGCTCTTCAAGGCTAACCAGATGCCGCCCGTGCTGGGCGGCAGTGCCCACCCGAATGCGCCGAGTAGCATGTCCATGGCTCAACAGCAGCAGCAACAGCAGATTCCACAGCAACAACCGACACAGCCTGGTCCCGTGAGTGGTCCCGGACCAATGCAGCCGATGCCGGTGCCCGGCCCGAACTTCAACAATGTACACTCCAACGACATTGATCTGCGTATGGGTCCCAGCGGGCCCATGCCCATGGATCCTCGCATGATGGCCCGCAACTTGGACCAGGATATGCGCCAGGTGATGCCGAATCCGGTGCCCCCACCACTAATGGACCCCCGGACTCGCGCCCAAATGCCTGCTCAGCAGCAGGGACCTGCTCCGGCGCCGGCTCCGTATCCAAGCGATCCGCGCCAACGCCCCATGGATCCGCGGCTGCGAGCCGGACCCGTGCAGCCGCCACAGCAAGTGGCGCCCCAGGTGCCGCCGCCAACACAGCAGCAGCAAACCGCAGCCCAGCAGCTACAGAGTCGTCTGGGCGCCCATGGGGTCTTGCCCTCGGACGCTTCCGACCAGGACAAGGCCGCACTAATCATGCAGGTGCTGCAGCTGTCCGACGAGCAGATTGCCCAGCTGCCATCGGAGCAGCGGGCCAGCATCCTGATGCTCAAGGAACAGATTGCTAAGAGCACTCAGCGTTAATCGCCGCCGAATATCCTCTATACATGTTTTATTTTGACTGGAAACCGAATAAAAAGAGCATTCGCACATTAAAACGTTTATTATTTTAGGAATGGGAACGTGACAGTCCGGGATTCTTGGATCAGTGGGCTGAGACCAGGGTCTGGTGGAGCTTATGCACTGTTGTGTTGAGCATTTGGCGCAGAATATCGTCTTCCGCACAATGAACAGCCTAGAGGGGAGGCAGAAATAATTAAGTGTTTCGAGGACGCCATTTGCTAGGCACTCACCAGGGTCTCCAGATTAATCTCCGCCCGCTTCCCACTCACAGTCACTGGGAGCAGATCCCCCTTGAACATCTTTGGTACACAGCTGTCGCCGAATGTATCTTGCAGCGTCTCAATGAGGCATTCCCGGAAGCGAGAGCTCTCCGACTTGGTTTGCTTGGTGGTGCCTTTGAGGCTGGTGCCGCCCAGCTCGGATTGCATGATGCAGGCGAGAACCGCGTCGGCGTAGACATCGTTGACATGCGTTGCCTGCCACTCCATGACAATGATCTTCTGCTCGACGGTCAACTCAATGCAGTTGAAGACGCGCAGCTTGCGTTCTGGCTCAACCACCTCCACACAGCCCGCTCCAATGCGATCCAGCAGAAGCTCCAGGGTGCCCAGAGAGCTGGTCCAGGGTATCGACTGGCGCTGCGTCACCACCGACATGCTCATGTCCGTGTACTCTGTGAATTTTCGTTAATAAACTATATGGGGCGGAAAATAGTCACTTCAATACTTACTGCCGAGATCGGAGGGGGCCAGAAGATGATACTTGAAGTCGCGCTTCACCAGCACGCCGGATAGCTTGCTGCCAACCTCGGGGTTCTTGGCCGCCAGATTGCCCATCACCTTGGCTGTCTTCTCGCCCCGGAAATACAGATCGACGGCATGTGTGTTGCGGGGATTGTAGAACTTGATGTCGGTGCTGGCATCGGCCTCGTACTCGCGCTGCAGGGCCAGCTTCAGGCGGGACATTTCGTTCTGTTCCCCGTGGACGAGGACCACATGGGTGGGCCGCAGCAGGCGTATGAATTCGCTGGTCTGCTGGTAGTCCGTGTGCGCCGAGAAGGAGATGTAGTCGACGGACATGTTGAGGGGCAGCTTCTGGCCCGAGAGCGTGGTAATCTCCTCCGGCTCCGAGAGAATGGTCTTCGCCAGAGTGCCCTCCACACAGTAGCCGGCAATGATGACGCCGTTCTTGGGGTCTGTGCACCAGCTCTCGAATAGCTCGCGCGACAGCCCCGACTGCATCATGCCGGGCGATGCCATGATTACACAGGGCCCAATGTCCTCGAAGTGATCGATGCCCTTCAGGTTGGAGATGTGTCGAAAGACAAAGGGATTGTTGACGGCTATCTGCCGCCTGATTCGGTCATTCATGGCGTTTATATACGTTTGGTAGACGGCCATGCACTTTTTGGCCAGCGACGAGGCGTAGTAGATGGGTATCTCGTGCAGTTCGGGATTCTGCGACCAGAACTCGTCCAAAATCAATAACAACTCCTGGGCTCGGCCCAGGGCGAACACGGGAATCAGGCAGCGACCTCCTTGCAGAACGGTCTTCTGAACCAGCGATGTGAAACGATTCTCGCGGTCTTCGCGCTTCTCGTGGATGTGCGTGCCGTAGGTGGACTCGGTGATAAGAACATCGGGCTTCATGGGCGGCACCTCTGCGGCCATCAAGTGGCGATCCTCTTGCCGTGAGAAGTCGCCAGTGTATAGGATTTTGATGCCCGCAATTTCAATCATAAACATCGCGGCCCCCAGCACATGGCCAGCATTGTAGGCGCAAAAACGGACGCCCATGACATCGCGCTCCTCGTGAAAATTAATTGTCTCGATTTTCTCCATCGAAGCCTCCAGGTCGGCTTCTGTGTAGAGCATCTGCTCCGTGGATATGTTGCTGATTTTAATGTAATCCGAGAGCATCCATCGGTAAATGGCCTTGGTGGCGTGCGTCATGAAGCAACGTCCTTTGAAACTGGTCTTCATCAGGAACCAGGGCAGGGCCCCACAGTGATCCAAATGGAAGCTGCAATTCAGAGGAGGTGTTAAAGTAAATCCCAATTAAAAATCTTGCCGCACTGATACGCACTGTGAAATGAAGAGTAGGTCGATCTCGTCCGCCTCTATTAAGTCCACGTAGGGCAGCGCATCCATGCCGGATAGCCCGGGGTGTATACCGCAGTCGAGCATGATCTTCTTTCCCTTGAACTCCAGCATGATGCACGAACGTCCCACTTCTTGACCGGCGCCACTGAAAAGAATGCATTTCTGTTAGCTTAGTTTTTCCATATCCATGGCATGATCTCGCTTCTGCTTACAGCGGTTTGATTTGCAGCAGATCGCTCTCCTCGTCCGGCACGCGGACATCGTTCGTGGTCTGAGACATTGTTTTTTTATAATATAATTAAATTTCACAAATAGCCGGGAAAAGCAGGAGATGAAAGCAGATCAGTGTGACTGACCCTCAGAAATATACCGAAACTAAGTCAACAAAATTTCAAAGTATACCGTAAATATACTGACGAATTATTTGTATTGCAGTTGCATCAGTGAAAAACCTCCGTTATTCACTTTTTGACATGCCTTTTTTCCGAATTTTTTTAAAAAATCTACAGATTAGGATGGCAAACGGATATGCTGCATTCGATGCGGCCTTGGACATGACTCTAAATTTCATTTCCACACGGTCTCTCTCAATGCACGTTGGCGCATTGTGCAAGGCTTGTGCGCCTGGTTTGTGGATCTAACTAGCTATTAATATTCGACGGAATATCAAAAACGATTAACTTGAATGATTCGTTAGTATGTTTACGGTACATTTTGAAAATGACACGGAATATTATGGTATATTTCTGAGGGAAAGTCACCGTCACCGACATGGCCGACAATGCACGGCTATTTAAACTATCCGCAGAGCTGAAGCAGCTAATGGAAATACTGTAAAAAACATGTAAAAACACTTTAATAAAAAATTGTTCAAATCATTAATTAATCTAAACATATTTAGATTTATTTTGCTTTTTTCAAGCTAAAAACTGCTTTTTCCTGTTGAAAACTTGCCAGCACTGCTTCCAGCTGTAGCTAGTGTTATCGTAATCGAATCTGTGCCACACAAAGGCCCCCGAATAATTTCTTCCTTACACAAATGGCTAGTTCCAGCTATGATGGTAAATTTTTTGGGCTCACCATCTACAAACTGTCTCATCTGTCCCTCTCCTAACCCATTGAACAGTGCTGCGGAAGCAGGCGCGCTCACTGGAAAATGAAATCGACCTGAAGCTGGTAGCGTTCAGTAAAATTGGAGCTGGCAGCGGGGGCAGCAGCGGCATAAGCAACAGCAGCAGCGCTGACACATCACCTCTGCTTGGGGACCTTGTCTTCGACTCGCTGTCCGAGGAAATCGAGCAGATGCTGGAGAAGGTAGGGAGTCCTGGGTGCTTGAGTTACTTACCCCACTTAAACGCATCCCTTCTCCGTCCAACCGCAGCTGTCGACCCTCAATGAGTCGATGTCCGACCTGCCAGCAACAGGTGCTGCCGCCATGCACACCCTACAGCGGCACAGAGAGATCCTGCACGGCTACAGGCAGGAGTTTAACAAAATATGCGCCAATCACACGGTGCGAATTGAGCGTGAGGAACTGCTCCGCGGTTCCGGCCTGACCACTTCAGGCAGTCCCTCGATATCGGGCCTTAGTCGTCGCGAGATGTACATGAAGGAGACCGGGCACTTGAGCAGCGCCAGTCACCTGGTGAACGATCAGATCAACATAGCCATCGAAACGCGCGACCATCTGCACGCCCAGCGTCAGGCCTTCAAGCGGCTGCAGACGCGATTCAATGACATATCGAATCGATTCCCACTGATTTCCAGGTAAGTTCCAGCTGGGCCACAGATTACAGGGCATATAAAAGGATGTCTCCTTCCTTTCAGTCTCATTCAGCGCATCAATATAAAGAAGCGGCGCGATTCGCTCATTCTGGGTGCGGTAGTGGCATTCTGCATAATTCTGCTTTTGCTCTATGCCTTCAATTAGCGACCCATCGTCTTGGACAATCCAAAGATAGAGCTTTTATCCAACTCAACTGCAGACATTTTGCAATTTCCGTTTATTTCTCCGATGGTATATGTGTATAATTAACTTGTGATAGCAATAAAATGTAGTATAAGGATGAATAATATATAACGTCGCTAACAAATCATAATTTCCAATATTAATACAATTTCTTACTCACCAAAGCAAGAAAATTCCCATCTGGGAAGAACGAAACAAGTGAAGTTAGTCATTCTATCACATCTGATATATACAATTCAGTCGTTGATCAGTAATTATAGTAGAAGTACAGAAGCCAGAAAGAGGATCAATAGGCAAAGACGGAAACTACGCAGCAGAGTAATCCGTTATTCTTTCAATTCGTATTTGCTGAGAGCGTGGCTTGAGAGCTGATGAGAGTCGTTTCAGCCGAGGGTGGGTGGAGCGGTGAGAAAGAAAAATTGAAGGAAGATCAAAAAGGAGTTGAGAGATAGCAACAGTATTGCAGGATCTAAATAAAGCTGGAGCTGAAAAAGAGGTAAGTAAAAAAAGCACGGATTTTCCACTCGCTTTGTTTCGCAAAGTATCCTTCAAGTTTTAAATCATATTCGAGCATTCAGTACAACATTTCATTCAATAATACTTCAAAATACTGAGAATTTTTGCCCGACATAAAAAAAAATTATAAATTTTACGAAAATGTCCCAGCCATCGGAAAATGCATCCCATGAAAATACAAACTACGATGATGAGCCCGACGAGTCGGTTGGTGAACGCCTCTGGGGATTGACCGAAATACTTCCGGATTCGCATCGCAACGCCATTTCAACAGTCGCCAAAGGAACCGTTGTTTGTGTCCAGAAAGTCTGCTCCGGGGCTTGGATGATATTGTCAGCCACCCTCATTCTGCTCGGGCCCATTATCTTCGAAATCGAACGCAACCACAAACCCAACTAAGCTTCATTTAATTAAATTAGATTAAATAAACATGAATGTACCTAATGAAATCGCAATTGACAATGAATAGCAAATAGCATTTGTAATTTGTAAACGGAAAACCAGTAAAAAGTAAAAATGGCTACCAAATTGGAATTAATAAATAAAAAATTGCAATAGAAAATTACTAGGTTGTTCGAAGGAACTGTACATTTTCGTATCTCTGTCTTCAGTCTAAACTCTTGGTTCGCCTTATCGATAGATCGATAGTTTAAAGTGGGTGACAGCCCTACAAAACATCTGTTGGGCGATGTGATAACAATTTCATTTTTTTACTCTATACCCTTTGATTTGTATTAAACTGAATTTTCTGAATAGAAATACGGAAACTTATTGGTAAACAGAGATGTCCATGCTGCCAAATCCAGCGGATCAGGCCGCAGAGGCGGCCAAGGCCCGCATGTACGGCTCCGAGGACCTCGACAGGTTGGCCATGCAGTTTGTGGGGAAAATGCAGCGATACCGCGAGAACATTGTGATACCGAGAACCATGGGACCGGTGAAGATCAAGACGAACGAAGAGAAGCTATTAGAGTCGGCTGTGGAGAGCTGTGGCTTCAAATGTGCAATGGCATGCGTTATGGGTGAGGCTCTCACATGTTTGGTTGGATTGTTTTGGTTATTTATGTACGATTCATCCACTCTCTAGGATACGGTCTTGGAGCTGCCCTTGGCCTGTTCAGTGCCTCCGTGAATCCCAACATGGCCGATCCGTTTGCGAACACGAAGAAGCAAACAGCCCGCGAGGTGTTCCGGGAGATGCGCGCCACCACGCATTCCTACGCCAAGAATTTCGCCCTAATTGGCGCTGTGTTCTCCGTTGTCGAGTGCGCGATTGAGAGTGTAAGTCAGCAGAGATCAAAGTTGTAACCCACCTTAATCCGTTTACCTGCAGAAACGTGGCGTCACCGACTGGCGCAACGGCACCTACGCTGGCGGCATCACCGGCGGACTGATTGGCCTACGCGCCGGCATAAAGGCTGGCGTCATAGGCGGCCTCGGCTTTGCGGCGTTCTCCACGGCAATCGACTTCTATATGCATTCTAGATAGGCGCAGCTTTGGATCCCTTTTATCGTATAAATGTTTGTTTCTAATTACCAAAATCGGGCTTTCGTCTTTCTTCAAAGTTGCCGCCCAGGAAATGGGCTCCCCTAACGAGCTCGGCACGATCAGCTCCAGCAGTGGTTTGTTTCCGCTGCTTCCTGCCTGGCTGCCGCTGCACAGTGCACAGAGTTTGAGCCGTGACATTTACAGCGCAGCTGCCAGCCATTAATATTAATCCAATGAAATGTAGACTCGGCCGCGGCATGGGCAGTGCGCTACAGTCTCGGTTTCGAATTCGGCCAACGACCGACCGGTTTAGCAGTGCCTTTGAGGCGGGGGTGGGGGAACCGAGTCCAGCTTGTGGGAACGGGAATCATGATCCAGCTTGGGGCGGCCGCAGAATGCCTTTGCCACAGCCACAGCCACAGCACATTTCCAGTTTCGTTCAGTTCGATTTGAGCAACAGGCAGGTAGAGATCGCCGTCGTTCTGCCGAGAGTTTCCGCTTTCAGTTTCTGCTGCAACGCGTTGATTTAAGACGAGTGTGCGATGCGAGGCTGAGACTTCGGATGAGGATGAGCATCAGTACGGCAGCTGCAAAAGTGCAACAGTAATACCGTACCACCAGCCACAACAATAGCAGCAGCAGCCGCAGCCGCAGCAAACAGCAAACGGGTTTCATTTGCAGACTGAAAGGCAAACGTCGCGTGTGTGCTTGTATGTTTTTGTGCGGTTGGGTCGCGTGCAGTTCACAAAAAATATGCAAAACCCTCAATTACTATATTAAGCATAGACCTAAAGACTATTAAGTAGATTAGATGGAGCTCTGGCCTGGAAGTACTACAGTTCTTCTCTCAGCGGCTAGATGAAAGCAAAATCAATTGTTGGCAAAGGCGGGTCGCCCCGCAACGGAGCGACAGAGATCAAATCTTGAACACACTGTGCGCGATCGTGACTCACAAGTGCCTGTGTAGTGTATCCAACAGCCGAGTCCGTTTGGCTGTCCGTCTGGCCGCAATGTTTATGCAACCAATTTCCAGAGCCGCAAGATCTCTTGTTTGCTTTCCCTTAGTTCTGCGTCGGATTCAATTTGCGTGTGTTCGGCGAACAACTCAATTCATGGATTGTTTTGTGTACAGTGTAGCCAACAACAAGTTCAATGAAACCAAGTGACACTTGCATCTAATTGGACTTGGTCTCTGTCCGTCCTCCTGTATTCGTATGTACATGCGTATGTACGAGTGAATCAAGAGTCGAAGACTCCGGGCGGCTGAGTCAACGGAGACCAGCGTCGAATTCGAGTCCAACGCCATTTGCTGGTTGCGCCATAGCCCCCGATCCGCTATCTTATCTCCTCGTAATCTCCGCGAAGAGAGTATTGGGCGCTGCAGTTTAGACCCCGCGCCGAACCACTCTGTAACCAGCAGCTGGCCAAGGAACCAAGGCATCAACAGCGACATTGACGACCTTGCTCGAAAGCAAGAAAGTGTGGGAAGGGGGGGAAAGAACCAGGTAGAATCAAAACAGACGAAGCCCAGTCGATGACTCAATTAGAATTCACTTTTACTTTGATGATTTAGCAGATAGCATAGCCCATACCCCACTCTCTCCTCGCTTTCCGTTCTGAGAGCGCTGCAGAGAGACAGAGAGAGCCAAATAGAGTACTCGAGCGAGAGAGCAGCGATATCTAATCAAAACAAATAATGCCAACGTCCCATGTCGGGGCTTGATTCATTAATTTAGTTCCATTTCCCGAAGAAAGCGGTCTGTCGCGCTCGAAACATTAGTCGTAATGAGAATATAGAAAAGCGAAATTAATACGAAAAGTGCCTTTTTAAGAACAGATCCATCAAAAAACAGATTCTGCTCTGATCCGAGATTCGAATACGATATAAAAACTGCAGGAAAACCGAAACAAATACAACGATGAAGCACAAATTTCTGCTGCTGGTGAGTAAAGTATATAATTATATATTTCCAGGCCTTACAAACACTATCGCTATCTTATCTGGAATACTTTTGGCCCGCTGTGTTTCGGTTCAGATAGGAGGAAGAGCACTACACTGTGTGCTGGTGGGGAGACCTTTTTATGGAGCCAAATAGTGACCTCTTTTTCTTTTGCGGGACCTAAAGTAGGGGGAAGCATCTGCTCCGTATCAGTCATCAATATAAACATATTCTGCCCATCTGCCTCTCGATCTTCTAGAAGGCCTCTTTGTAAAAGTGGCCACATTTGGTGTTTGATAAGTAATATAATAGAAAACCATAGGAATGAGATTGTAAGAACCAATTCAATGCAATGCCGTCATAGAAGGATCTAGATATGGCTGATTAAAGTATAATTCCTCAACGTCGTAAACAAATAATCTACAAAAATATTAGGAAAAAATGTTCAATTAAGAGAACAAAAAGTATAAATATTTTCCTTTAGGAGAATGGAATTTATAGAACTTATAGAACTTCTACACAGACCTTTGTTGCTTCGATTGGTAAACTTGGTAAACACTTGGTTTCAGAAAATAAACAACATTTTTGCGGAACAGCAGTTCGTCAATCCGTTTGCCTTAATCACATTTTTATCCATTTTGTATAAACATCAAAAGTGTTTAGTTTCAATTTTGATAAGCCAAAAATGCGCAAACTTTTCTACTGATAACATTTTCAAATTCATTTTGCACTCACACAATTTTTTAGATTTTGTTCCTACCTATAATTTCCCATAATAACTATCTCACTACTGAATTAAAAAATATGGGAAATACTCATAAGATAAGCAAAAAAAAGAATGTTTCTACAAGTGTTTTTGCTTAAATATCAATGTATGTACAACACTAATTGTAACCTTAGTGGTCTTGACATGCACTTCGTATCGTGACATTTGAGCACCAATTCAAAAACGGAATCTGAAATAGTGTAAACCCATTCATGGTCAGCACAGCGGGCGATCTTCTCCAGTGATGAGAGCACGTACACTCTAGCCTGACTTCCTCAACGGTTGAGTATAGCTCTTTTCCTGCTAGCTAATACCACTCCTTTGTATATACACGTCGGTTTCAAAATGAAACACCAGAGCTATGATTTTATATTGCATTTTATTAGGCCTTAAACGACACAATGAAAATGAGTTGAAAAAAGAATGAGGATAGCTGTTAGCCCTTTAGAATAATCAGTCACAATACCAAATATATCTATGAGTGCTATAGACGACGTCGAAGCTTTTTGGGGTTTTAGGAATATATATTCGATATTCAAAGGAACCGATTGAATGACCGAAACTAGGATAACCTCTCCGGGCATATTCAAACAACACTTATTCTTCAGTGTTGGGCAACGCAAGAACTTAACGGCCACTAAGAAATAGGAAATATTAATTCTTGAAAACAATCTTGAATTAAAGATAGTTATGAACAAATATGAAATTTCTAAACATTAACTAATTTTGATGCTTGCAGCTTCTCACTGTGACAGCGATGCTCCTAGCATTCGCGCAAGGCCAGCACGAGGACATTCCCTACCAGGCAGTGACGAACATCTGCCATACATGCGTGTGCCTGAGCACCCAGGACAGCAATCATCGCATCCACCAGACCCTCAATTGCGACATGAAAAACTTTGAGCACATTCTGCCCCGATGGCCCACCGAGTTTGGCACCCAGTCCACGGGCACAGAGATTGTGGCCACGTACTCGGGCAACCGCATCCGTCTGCTGCAGCAGCTGCCGGCTACGAATGCGACCTTGACACTGTCCTGTCGCCACTGCGGCTTGCAGCAGCTGCAGGCGCCGCTCTTCATGGATGTGCCCAATGTGGAGGCGCTCTATCTGAGCTGGAACGAGATCGCCGAGGACGCGCTGACGCCAGAGCTATTTCGGGGTCCCTTCAAGACCACCAAGTACGAGCCGATTGGGCTCAAGGACCTGGATCTAAGCCACAACCGCATCGCTCTGCTGTATCGCAAACTCTTCGAGCACACCCCGCAGCTGATCAAGCTAAACTTGGCCTACAATCTACTAAGCGAACTGGACGATGCCACCGCCTCAGCCCTGGCCTCGGTGACGACGCTGCAGCGCCTCGATCTGTCCCACAACGGACTGGCGAGTCTGCCCAGCGAGCTCTTCTCCAAGCTAAGCAGCCTCCGCATTCTGGATTTGTCTGGCAACGAGTTCACCGTGGTTCCGCCCAGCATCCAGCAGCTGGGCAAGTCACTGGTGCAACTGAATCTGGCGGGTAATCAGTTCAACGACTTAAATGCGCTGAGTTTCCAGAAGTTGGAGGCACTGCGTCGGCTTAACATAAGCGATCTGCCTGCCTTGAGCACCATTCACCGGGGCGCTTTGGCTCTGCCGGCACTGGAGCAGCTAGAGTGCTCCAGAAATCCCAAGCTGGAGCTCCTGGAGCTGAACGATTTGCTGGTCAGCCGCGGGCTGTCGCAACTGGACATCTCCCACAACGCACTGAGCACGCTCACCCTTAACGTGAGCAGCAGTAACAGTAGCGCGGTAGCTTGGCCCCGGCTCCGCAGTGTGTCCATTGCGGGCAATCCCTGGTACTGCAGCTGCGACCTGCTCCAGGCCCTCGAGTTGGTCGACGTGCAGCGCGCCGAGCAGTCTGGCGGCGCAGCGGAGGCCCGTTGCGATACGCCCTATTTGCTGGCTGGAACTCCGCTCTCTAACCTGACGTCACAGAAGATCTGTAGTATGGTTATCCCGAAGAAGTATCGCGCCGTGGACGAGGAGCCACCGCGCTTCCTGCGACGCCGCTACATCGTTCTTACGGCCATCATTGCAAGCGTGGTGGTGGTCCTCGGCCTGCTTATCGGATTCGTCGTGGTCTGCGTGCGACGCCGTCTCAAGGGCAATGACTACGGCGTCCAGCCCATCCGCTACACCAGCGTGAGGGGCAGCAACCTGTCCGCCTTCTCGCAGCTGCAGCCCGCTTCGGTGGCCAGCAAGTTCAACAATGCCGCCAGTGCGGGCACCACAGGTGCAGCCAATGCCTGAGCCCAGTCCCGGATAGGATCAGGATCAGGTTGATCGCACCCGCGTTAGCTGCACGAATTTCGAGCCAAAGATGTCCACGAAAGTGTTTCTGCCACTTAAGCCCCTACCTAAACCGAAAAGACTTTGTGTGCTATCGTGCTATCCTGTACATATGTATGTAGTCCCCCAGTGGAGCTGTTCCCAGCTCCCACCACCACCCCTATAGTTTCTAGTGCTGCCATTGATGTATGTATTGTACTTAAGTTTCGAAAACTAGCGTTAAATAAACCATTTTCAAATAAAATCAAGTTCTTTACGACAGCTAGGGGAGGAGGTGCAGCCACGGGTTTTTCATAAATGAAGAACTCTTCGAAGTGCAGCAAATATACATAACATCCCATCATCATATCCGATTTATTTAAAAAGTATGAATTAAGAGGTGTATCTAAAAGATATCTTCCGTTAAGACAGATGTTCAAAGAGTTTAAGGTAACTCGTATATGAATATTATATCCGACCCTTAGAAAATATCCACCAGCTTGAGAATTTATAACAGATGGAATCCTTATTACAGCCAGAATGCAGAATATCTCCTCCAGTGTGCGCCCTCTGGCGGAGTGAGCGAGATATAACGGCCGGATGGCACATATATGCTATAAGTTACATAAATAATAATATTTACAGAGTACCAGGTATTAGTAGTAACTCAAGTTCGTTCTGGAGCTGCATCCTGAATGAACAATCGAAACAAGTTCAGCGGAGCACGGATTTTTATCTACTTACAAAAGTTTATTATTTGCGCGTCTTCTTTTTACAGCAATTACTAAATACGAAAACACAGGAACAAACTGAACGGCAGGATGGAGGGGTGGAGTCGCTCGGCGCGCGGCTTATCTCACAAATTGGTTAGATAAAAGATAAAAGCTTATACAGATAGTGCCGAATATGTGGGAGATAGTGCGGAAGTGGGAGCAATGAAAAGGTAGCCAGTAATGGGGTCTATACAATCGCATTGTCTAGCACTCGCTCTCCAGAAGTTCTTCCTCGACCGCTGTTGGCGGACGGGGCAACTGGGTGGCATCCAGTTTAAACAGGTTGATGGCCTGCTTCTGGGCCAGGAACTGACGCATCTCGGCAAAGTTGTCTCGCTCCTTGTGCTGCTTGCTGCGCTGCTTGAGGTCCCGTTCGTCGGCAGAGTCCGACTCGGAGTCGGTGCCGGAGCTGCGATCTGTCTGAGATACATCGGTCAGGCGATTGTCTGCCTGCTGCTGTTGTTGTTCCACTTGCTCGGTTTGGCCGAAGAGCTCGTCCACGTTGATACCCTTGGAGGCGAGAACCTCGCGCTCCTTCTCCAACATTACTTGGCGTATGGGATCGATGCGATCCTTGAGCTGCTTCAACACTGGCTTGAACTTTCCCTTCGTGATGCGCTTTTCGAAGTTGAGCAGTTCCTTCTCGGGCGAGGGGTAGGGCGCCTGCTGTTCTGCCTCGTACTGCTGAGCTTCGTTCTCGTCGTACATGTAGGCGTAGAAGTCATCCTTCTGCTGCGTCTCGCCCACGTTCTGCGAGAACTCAACGCGCAAAATACTGTCGGGAAACTCATCGTCCGCCTTCGTAGAGCTGTCTGCCTTGGGCAGGTCTTCCTCAAGATCCAGCTTGCTGTGCAAAAACTTGTTGTAGACCAGCATCAGGCGTTGGAAATCATCACAGCATACGGCCAGCGCATTCTCGATCCCGCGCATGTTGCTGGCCACGGCCACAAGTTCTTTGGCATTATTCTTGTGAGCCGCCTCCGTGGCCGTCAGCTGCTGCAGAGTAATATCCAGGGCCTGGCACTCGCCGGCCACGGCCACCATGCAGGCACTGAGCTTCAGCGAGGAGTGCTGCAGTACAGCAATTGGGCCGCTTTGCTGCTGCTGTGCCTTGGCCGCATGCAACTCCGCCAGCTCCATTTGTTTCCTGTTCTGCATGGCAACGGCCAGGTTGCCGAAGTGGTGCTCCTCCTCATGGACTAATTGCCGCACAAGACAATCGATTTTCACCAATTCCTCGCTTAGCTGAGAGATCGACGGCCGCGTCGTGATGGTCAGCGCCAGGCGGAGCAGATATTGCGACTGCACATAGGCAAAGATGTTGTGGAAATCCTGCATAGAATCTGGGATTACCAAGACTGCAAACACTGTGGGAAATAAACCACTGTACCTTTATGTGCTTCGGACTGTAGTCCGTCACATTGTTTTTAAAGTACTCGCACTCTCGCAGCTCCTCCATGGGCGCATAGTATGAGCCGTATTTGGTGGGTAGCGGGTAATCCGTCTCCAGCTTGCGCGTGGCGTCGTAGAGTATCTCGGTTACCTCCTTGGCCGCCGTTATGCAATCCCAGGCTCGCTCGATCTGTCGCGATCTGTGCATGAAAATAAATAAGCAAGCCATTGAATCATTTTGTGTCAATGGCCTTACTCAATTAGTTCTGCCTGCTTCATGATGATAATCTCCTGAAAGTACGTCATGTTGCGCCTGATGCAATTCCCAAACTCATCAATGGTCCGCACGAGCTGCTCCAGCTTGCGCTCCACAATCTTGTTGCGGCACACAAAGACGCTCTTTACGGCAAAGAGGGCTGTAAAGGTGCCGGTCACGAGGATCGTGGGAAGCATGGTGAGCCGCAGCCTACGCGGTGTGACAAAGTGCTCCAGAAGTGTGCCGCCCAGCAGCAGGCAGGCATTCCGCGTGGTCAGCAGTCGCCGGCCGGGACGGGAGGCCGCAGAGGACTGCAGGTCCTGCATGCATTGCTCGAGCGCCTCGACGTGGTCAACGAGCAGGCGCTTCGAGTAGAGTATCTTTTGCAGCAGGCCATCCTGTATTACCTGTGTGTTACGCAGTGCGTTAGACAATTTATTAATAGCATGTGTTTTCTGCACGGCACTCACCTGTTTCTGCTTTAGTTCATCCACTAGCTGGCGACGCTCAAAACGTTGCTGAAATCGAATTAAAACAACGTTTATCAGTAATCAATATCACTACAGTTGTCCTATGCACATCTACGTACCTTGAGCTCTTGCATTTTAGCCGTTTTGTGGTTTAGAAAGTGCACTTTTAAAGTGCATTTTACGAGAAAATCAGTTCGATAAAATATACGGTCTGACCGATAAAAAAACATAGTTAGCCCTCTTAGCCCCCTTCTTTTAAACAGGTGAACAGCTTGTGTGAAACGGCGGCAAATAGCACTGCTTGTAAATTATTCTTGTAGAATTATATTCTTCCTCTTTACTTAAAATAAACCCAACGATATCTTTCACCTGGGAGTCATTAGTTTCGTGAAGTGCGTTTTAATACCCACTGGTCGACACTGGGTTAATCGTCTTCTGTCAATACTCGGAAATAATATTCCTCGGTTTTTATATTCGATTTGATATTACTTGCTAGCTAGATCCTTCAGCCCTGACCAAATAATTTTATCCAATAAAATAATCAATTTTCTGCAGTATTGGCTAGTTTTAGGTACTCCCCTTTTATTGCATTGTGTCTCAAATAAGGTTTAAGCTAAAAAGGCCAACAAAAAATTAAAGCATAACGTAAGTATGTACGGAATAAACGTAAAAGCGTATGGAATGTTACGTAAATGCTGCTGGTAAACCGGGATCAGCTATGAGAATTGAAATATATATCCCCTTTTTAATTTTTGTCAATCAAAATTCTCTTTTCCAAGATTCCTTGAAATGTAATTAATAATAGCCTTTCTCAGATTGAAATGTTTCAGACTTATTTATGCATTTTATTTGTTTTCTGTATATATGTACATATATAAAGATTCCATTCATGGCCTCTGTAAGAATTAAATGGAAAATCAAAATTTCATTGAGATAGCTTTACAGCAGAGACGGACTAGTTCCTGCATTCACTGGTTCCTGAGATGACAAAAATCTTTTGGTTATAATAATATTCCGATCTGATCCATATTCGGCAATTTGGTAGATATGGTCATTCTCTATGATGGTGGGGCGGAAGGGGGTGAAACCGACTTTTAACAGTGAGATCTAACAGAATTATGGATATCAAATTTGGTTGCTATAGCTCTAATAGTCTCTGAGATCCTTTAAATCGGGGCGAAGATTTGAAAAACATTTTTAACAGTGACATATAATAGAAGTCTGCACACAAAACGTCGTTGCTCTAGCTCTCATAGGGACGGACAGACAAACATAGCTCAATCGACTCGGCTATGGGGTCGGAAACGCTTCCTGCTGGACGTTAATACACCCCTATACTCATTTTGAGTATCGGTTATAAAAAACAGCAGAAGCAATCATTATAAGGGCGGGCTTTAGAAGCTGGGGAGTTCGGTTTGACGCGAATACCAATGTCCGCTAGTTTATCGATCAGGTAGAAAAGTAAGTCGAAGCACATGCAATACACCAAGACTACATTTAAGTGCTTATGCCAATAGCATTGCAAGGTCGTGCACTCGAGTAGTGGCTCATGTTGGTGTGAGCGTCAGGGTCACCATTTTGCGATGCTAATCAGATCCGACATAAGATTAACAGTCGTACTTGGTAACAAAAGTTGGGACGAAGGTGGCGTCCCGGTCGGAAGGACATATAGCAAAAGGAGAATGTGATCTGCGGCTGCAGAGTTTCCTCAGTTATGTCTTTAGTATTGAATTTTTTTCCAAGGTAAATACAACAGTAATGGGGTGAAAGATTCATGGGTATCAGTGTAAAAGCGTCAGAAAGTGAAAATCAGCAGGTCGATCTCACGCTTCCTGAAGACACCACAAGTGGCGCACGTGTAGAGGAACTAATTGCAGTCTCAGACTCGCTGCAACTCAGCCACACTATCCTGGAATAGTATATGTACGATCAATTTGGCGGAGCAGGGTTCAGGACAAGGCTACCACGTTACCAATTAGTTCAAGGCAACTTCGAAGCTTCCAAATCCAGTCGTATACTCCTACTGTCCCATACTAAATTTCTGAATAATTCAATTCTCAAGTAACACAGTATAAAATCGACGCGTTTAAATCGACGTACCTAAACCGATTTTGTTAATAACAAAAGACTTACTGGCTAGTTTTATCAGCTATAGCTATTGCAGCCGGCTTTTTGTAGTGTTTACAATAATTAGAAACCGTAAAATCCTAATACTATACCAGAAGGATTTCATTTTTTTTGTATTTTATTTGTAGGTACTTAGCCTAGTTTGTGTTTTTCAAGATTACATAGAATTTGTTTACATATCTAGTAGATCAATAGCCCATTTACATAAAATCGACATCATAAAAAATTGTTTGTGGAGTTGGTAAACGCAGTTCTCAAAGTAGGGTCTGGCCAGGAGCTTTAGAGCCCGTGGGGCGAGTAAATACATACAGATGTGGATAGGCGTGGTACAATTTTGCTATGTGTTAGACAGATGTGAGATTTTATATAATAAATAACATGGTTTCTGCTCGTGCCGGTTTAATATCTGGGGATGCACGTGTTCGGCGACTGCTCGCAGTGGAATGGAAAGTACGCTGCCATGCCACAGCTAGATCTAGGGGTACTTCCATTTACAAGTGGTAGGTGGCAGGCACGGCACGCGGGTAGTCCAGATCGTACATTTGTGCCTTGATGAAGGCCACCTTGTTGGCGGGCTCGGGATAAACGGTGGCCAGTCCGTTCTTGTAGGCGTATTCCACAATCTTCTCGGCAATGGCTATCGAGCAGTTGACAATCGAGGGGAGGGGTGGGTACAGGCTGCCCCTGTTCAGATCATCCTTGGAGACCAGCTCGGCAAGGCGCTCGGCCGAGACCAGGAACACCTCTTCGGGAATGGTAAGCATTCCGGCGCACAGGACACCGAGAGCCACGCCCGGAAAGATGTACGAGTTGTTGCCCTGGCCAGGATAGAACTTGCGGCCGTTGTACGTCACTGGGGCGAACGGCGATCCAGATGCAAATATGCACTTGCCCTGGGTGTGTGTGTACGCCTCCTCGGCGGTGCACTCGGCCTTGCTGGTGGGGTTCGACAGGGCGAAGATGATGGGGGTCTCGTTGATCTCGGCCATCTTCTCCAGGATCTCCTTGGTGAAGGCTCCACCTTGGGCGGCAGCGCCAATCAGCACATTGGGACGCACGCGACGCACAGCCTCTTCCAGGGTATCGATCGGAGCGTGAGTCTGGGCAAAGTGCAGCTTGTGCTCGGTGAGGCCACCCTTTGGGCGGTCACGGACAATGACGCCACGGCTAGAAATACGTTAGCCAGTTAGCTTTTAATGTGGATGTGGAATAGAGTATGTTTGTTACCTGTCCACCATCCAGATGCGAGCCTTGGCCTCATCATCGGTGAGTCCTTCGGCCTTCATCGCCATGGTGCAGAGCGTGGCAATGCCGAGAGCGGCCTCGCCAGCTCCTAAGAACAGGAGCACATTGTCCTTCAGCGTGGTCTTCTTGATCTTCAGCGAGGCCAACAGACCGGCCACGGCCACCGAGGCGGTGCCCTGAATGTCATCGTTGAAGGTGCAGTACGAGTCACGGTACTTGGACAGCAGACGGAAAGCATTCGCGTTGGCAAAGTCCTCGAACTGGATGAGGCAGTTCTGGCCAAAGCGACGCACACATCCCTTCATGAACTCTTCGATGAACTCGTCGTAGAGGGCGCCGGTGGGACGCTTCTGGCGCAGACCCACATACAGGGGATCCTCCAGAATGCTTTCAGTGTTCGTGCCCACATCCAAGGTAATGGGCAGGCATTGCGATGGCTTGATACCGGCCAGAGCCGTGTACAGGGACAGCTTGCCCACGGGAATGCCCATGCCATTGGCCCCGAGATCGCCCAGACCCAGGATACGCTCGCCGTCGGTCACCACAATGGCGCGCACATCTGTCTCGGGCCAGTTCTTGAGCACCTCGTAGACGTGGCCCTTGTCCTTGATCGATATGTACATGCCCTTGGCGTGCTGGTAGATCAGGCTGTACTTCTGGCAGGCCAGACCCACCGTTGGGGTGTACACCAGCGGCATCATGTGGGCGATGTCCGAGCTGAGCACCTTGTAGAACAGGCGCTCGTTGCTCTCCGACAGGCTGATCAGGTACATGTACTTGTCCAAGTCGTTCTCCAATCGGTCAAGCAGGATGCGGCTATGCTTGACCTGCTCCTCATCGTCGCGCACCACGTACGGCAGAAGGCCATGGATGCCCAACTGCTGGCGTTCCTCGTGTGTGAAAGCCAGACCCTGAAGGAGATGAATATGTACATTATAACTAGCAAAAGTTGTCTCTCAAACCTATGATTTGCAGAGTTCGAATTTGAAAAGATCACCCGACAATTAATTAGTGCACAATGATCTGCTCTGAGGCTCTGGCTATCACTCTGGCGTTCGCTGAAATGGTGGAAAAGTTTGCTGCTGCTTATCATTCACCCATCGCCTGAGCACGCGCCATTCCTCCGGATAGACAATCTGACTGTCGTGAGCCCTGCCGCTGTCTGTCGCGTCGGTCTGACCTTGCCATGTTCAGAAGCTGGGTAGTGAATGGGGCGAGATTAGCGCTCGCCCAGGCACCAGCCCGATTTCAAGTTCAAAGTCAAATTCTAGCTCTGGCTCTGGCTCTGGCTCTGTCCATGCCGATCGCGATTCGCGAACCGGTATTCAAATGCATTGTGCGGGGAGGGGGTTTGGGGGTTTGACTCGAAATGACTCAGAGCTGAGCTGGCCTCGATTCACACGCACGATGATGCGGTGGTTTTGAAAGTTTGCTTTGTAATTGCTGCGTCTATTTTCGAAAATGCCTGCGAGCCATACAATATTACGCGATTATGTTGGGGGCGTTCCTCAAAACCCCTGACTAGGTCTTCGCCAATGAAAAAACGTGCCAATTGGCTTCCAAACATATGCATTACGCTGGCTTATGACAGGTTTAAGGAATTTTTACGGATGTACTCGTAGTACCTGCTGATATGCACATTAGGGAATAATTACTCGTGCATTAAATGTAATTATGCGAACACCAAAATCGTGACCGGACAAAGGTATTGTGAAAATGTCAAAGTTTATCGTAAGTTTCTGCCACTGAGACATCGTTCACCTTTAATTTACGGGCATG